GTGAGTCATATATGTATGGTGTGTATGAATCGTAGATACGTATCGTATGTACGTGTCGTATGTATGAAGCATACCCACGGTCTGATAATATCCTTACTACTAGTAGTAGTATCAGTATCACCAGGGACTGGATTGGTTTTGATGTCCTTGCAAATCCTATCAATAAAGTGTGCAAAAGCTGTAGCAAAGGTCCCCACTTACTGTATCACATTGATCAACCTCCTTGGATTCTCCACACTTCTTCTTCCTCCTCTCCTACTAGTACTAGTGTCTGGAGGCAGGAGGAGATGTGGATCCCCTGCCTCCACAGGAGCAAGGATGATGGTGAGCTTCTGGGTCCTTTGATAATAAGCTCCAGGGATCCTTGCTCTAAAGCATTTGAGAGCAATTCCTTTCTTACTCTTGCTGGTCTTGGTCATATCCATACCAAACTCATCCACATGCCACAGTAAAGTACCGTAGGCCTGAGTAGGATTTGATAAGAACCCTTCCATTTTGACCAAAATGGAGAGTGCTGCGCGTGCCACCACCGGTGCTAGTACATAACCTACGTAGGCATACGTCGCTAACGTACTATCATTTGAATTACAGATTTTCATAAGATACTTTCACCCCGATCTTGACACGCTGCAAGTACCAAGTACCAGTATTTACGTGCTCGTTTGTATCGTACGTACTCAGGGGATGCAATCGAGGGACTATTGTGATCAGAATACCGGAATGTGCGAAGACATCCCGCTCAGATACGTAGTGAATGGCCGCCGTACGCACAGTGATATCGTACAGGAAGGAAACCAATCAGCATTTCATACAACGAATCAGAAATCGCTTTCTAAGATTTCGCGAGATAGAAATTGCGATTGAGGACAAGGCTCCAAAGACAACACCAGCACTCTAAAAAGAAACAAAGAAGAGTTTGATGCGACGAAGAAGAGCATGGCCTACCACCAGACGAGGAGACATTGCACTATTTCTATCTGTGGCGATAGGTATCGAATCTATGCTCTGTTCCTTGTCGTGGCAACAGTTACATTGTCTTGTTCGGGTTTCACCTCTACGGCCTTTATTGTCAACAATGCTCCTAAATTGACGATGCTCAGGCATACAAGCAGTTTTACGAAGACAATTCAACCAAAACGTTCCTCTAGGCCATCCGAAAAATCCAACCTTGTGTTGCCGACTACGACATCAGTAGCCTCTGCCTCCTCTTCGTTCGAACCTCTCTTTCGGGGAGTTAAACGCGACTTCGAAAATCGATGTCCTGAATTCAAATCTGACATTGTCGATGGTCTGAATGCTCAGTCCTTGGCGACAGTATTCTTTTTGTTCTTCGCCTGCCTAGCACCCGCAGTAGGCTTTGGTAGCGTTCTAGGAGGGCTCACGGGAAACCAAATGGGGGTGATCGAGATGGTTGCCTCCACAAGTTTGAGCGGGGTATTGTATGCGACTTTCTCCGCACAGCCTGTACAGCTGATTGGACCCCAGGGACCAGTTGTAGCATTTGTGGCAGCCCTCTTTGGCTTGGCTTCTTCTCTCGGCCTTGATTTTTTGTCGCTCTATGCAGCTACTGGATCGGTAGCGGCTGTATGCTTGGCGATCTTTGCTTTCACCTCAGCTTCAAACTTGGTGCAAAAGCTCTCCCGTTGGACCGACGAAACATTCTCGGTTTTGGTCTCAGTGTTATTTCTAGCCCAGGCGGTTGGGGATGTCGGTGCCACATTTGCACTCCCGGCTTCGGTGGTACCCTCAGTACTCACCAAGGCAATGGCCACTGCTTTAATGACACTCGTAACATGTACTTCAACGTTCGGAACTGCTGTTGCACTTAAGGGATTGCCCAAGACGCGATATGGAACAGCGGCAATTCGAAAGCAGCTCTCCAATTTTGCTCCCGCAATTGGCGTTGTTGTGGGTTCTGTGGTGGCTCGAGCCGCACGTATCCGTTGGGGGGTTTCTTTGCTGGCCTTGCAGCTTCCAGCGAAGTTTGTAACGTCCACGGGTAGGACCTGGTCACTTCTTTCCACCCTGGCATCAAATTCTTGTTCCAAGCTTTGGCTGGCAGCGGTTCCGGCCGGGGTAGCAGCATCGATCCTGCTCTACCTCGACCAAAACATCACGGCTCGCCTCGTGAACCATCCACGGTTCAAGCAAACAAAGGGAAATAGAACATCGATCACCGATGGAATGCACGGGGACATGCTGGTGCTGGCCGGACTCACGGCTCTGTCCTCCTTCCTAGGCCTGCCCTGGATGTGTGGCGCACCAACGCGGAGCGCCGCCCATGTCCGCGCCCTGGCTACTTCGGACGAAGATGGAACAATCTCTGGAACACTCGAGAACCGTGTCAGCGGCTTTTCGATTCATGCCCTGATCGGGTTGTGCGCGGTGGCCGCTGCCCCGCGTAACCTTCTGGCGACGGTTCCCAAGGCAGCTCTGTCGGGGATCTTTTTGTACCTTGGATTCACTTCGTTACAGGGTCTAGAATTTTGGGACCGGATCCGTGGTCTGTTTCAGGACGATGTGGTCTTGGATAAGTTTGATTCTGTAAAGCGTTCTGCCATTACGGTCTTCACAATGGCACAGATTGTGTGTCTGTGGACCATGATGCAGGTGACTCAATCCAAGTATGGAGTTGTATCACCCCTCCTCATTGCACTATTGCCCTTTGCACGATGGGGGTTGCTAAGGATGGGAGCCGTGACGAAGAACGACATGAAAATATTGGACGACTAATTTCCAAGAGCCTCAATACAATTTCAACTGACAGGAACTACTTTTTCTACAAAATACTAGTAGTAAGGAGTGCGTGCAGATACACTGCTTTTGCTATAATGCTAATACAATAAGTTAAAGTTTGCTCTTTGACTCAGAAATCATGTCGATTTCATTTTTTTCAGAAAAAATGAATTCCCGAATACCCATTTTTCAATTATGTGATCAGAACTGATCACAAAAAATTGTGATCAGAAATGATCACAAAATCTCTGGATTTCTTGATCACTTTTGATCACATTTTTTAACGGAGTAATATTACATAGGCCTTTCATTTATGTTATTCATGTATGTTTATGTATATATTAGTCACAGCACATTGGATTTCAGTTAATATAACAATAATAAATGAATATTTATTTTACATAGTAGTAGTAGTAGTAGTAGTAGTAGTAGTAGTAGTAGTAGTAGCACCATGACCGTGTGATCATTATGAAGGCATTATACAGTATGTAAAGGACTGATCATACTATTATTTATATTGAGATATTAAGATCTAATATAATACTGGACTAGTACCAATTCTACCTAAACTGGTCAAAATTTGTGATCATGATTGGTGATCACCAAAAAAAAACATCACAAATTCGTTATTTCTGATCAATTTTTTTGTGATCAAAACTGATCACAATTTTCTGCACAAGGAAGGAAGGCCTGGGAATCTAAATTTTTCTTCAAAAATTGAAATTGACATGGTTCTAGGAAAGATAGAAAAAGATTCTGAATGGTGAATCATATCAAGTTTTTGCAGTTGGTTGAGAAGCAGTAAGTACAACCTAATGTACTGTAGAATGACAGTGCTTCTAGTAATTGGCTCACTAACGCAAATAGTTTCTATGGTGGTGAAAGACTAAGTTAGTATCAGTAATGTTGAAGTTATGCTCTGAAAAGAATGTGTAGTAGAAGCTATTCAAAGAAAGCACTGTGGCTGTTTGTTGTTTCTAAAATAGGAATGGAAATCATTGATTTGTTGTGTATGCTGGGTATTGTTTTTGTTGGTGTTGTTTTTTGTAAGCAGAAGAGGTGATCTTACAAACAGACCATTAGAAGAAGTTTTAACTCCTCTTGTTGAAAGCACAGCAGCATAAATCCTCCAATTGCTTATGTAAGACCAAGTTGAAACCAACACATTCCAAAGATCTTCCCTGTAATTTGTAAACAGGTCTTGCATTGGCAATATGAATTGGGAGTTGAGATAATTATATTCCCTTGTGACCTGCTGAGTTTGATTGGTACTAATTCTTGATTCATATTCCTGCAGACATCAAAATGTGCGTTGCTGCTGTTGCTGCTGTGTTTTGAGAACAAGATAAAATGATCCCTTTTTTTGAGTCTCCTTCTTCAAGGACTACCTCCATCCATTCACCTTTCTTGACATCTACACATTGAACATAAAATCCATAAATGTTGATAATTTCACAATAATGGTACCATTTTTCAGTTTGACAGACTTGAATGTGTACTGTCAACATCTAAGTTGTCATTGAACATGTTAGGTCTACCAACATATTTTAAGCATTGGATATATCCTTTTGGAAGATTTGTTTGTACCTGCAACAATGCAAGCATCTGATGTGGTGGCAGTTAGTAGCAAGCAGTATTTCTGAAAATCTGGCATGTCTCTTTATTATTTTTTGTCTATTTGCAGTTTTAGGTTTGAGGAGGCCTTGATTACAATGCTGTGATCTGGTAATCTCTTGTTTTTATTTTTTGAATGTGTAGTTTTGTTGAGAAACTCAGAAAATATGCTATCATTTATTGTACATTTGTCTGCATTGCTGTATGTTGCACAAGCAATATCTTCTGGGAGTTCATCCCACCAAGGTTTACAATTCTAGAATTGATGATTTGAACATGCTCTTCTTTCAAGACATTTCATCTTAGATTGTCAAGAAGCTATCCCCAGATTGGATCATCTTTAAACCTGTGGTTTGTTTTAAGTTAAAGAAATGTGTTGGTTTTTCTCTCCAAAGATGGATCTTTTTTTGACAAAACTAGAGTCTCCTCCCATGGGTTTGAGTTGATTGAAGTCACTTACAACAATGGCAATTGGTAGATTGCCATATATTGTATATGATGGCTTGTCACACAATCAGTTCAGATGCTTATTCAATGTTTCAGTTTGTTTCATGCTAGCAAATGATATCTCATCAACAGCAAGTAGGCAAGTCTCATTTATCTGTAACATTGGATCTATCACAATTGAGATAGCAAGCTTTACTATGTGTTGTTTCCCCATTGATAATGACTGCTGCTGTTCCAGTCATGCCTGTAATAGCCAGAGTTCTGTTGGAAAAGTTCACTCCAAATTCTTTGCAATATCTTACAATAATGTCAAACATATTAAATAATTTTTGATTTTCCAGTACCACCAGCCCCTGATAGAAAACAGATGAACTGCTTTTTGTTGCTTATTGTTTCATAAAGATCTTGAATGTATTTGTTGTGGCAAATACTAATTAATCTTCTTGTGGAATATCTTTTGCTTCATTGTTCAGGTGAATGTAGTAGAGATATTTTATGAAGTTTTGAAACAAAAGCATCAACTATCTGGTTAAATGCATTTTCTTGGTCTTTGTCATTTTATAAATTCAACTTCGTAGTATAGTGTCTGATATTTTCCAAGGCTCCAGTAAATGTGAAGTTTTTCATAGCTTTTGCATGATCAGTCTCATGGGTGACAATGTCACCAAGGTTTTCTTTGGGCAAGCATAACGTCACACAAACCTGTACTATGGTTTTTTTTTTT